ACATTAAAATATCAGTCATTTGTTTCGTTGCTGTGAGCTTGTTTCAAAATTTCTGGCTTTTGCTATAATTGTAAAACTCTGTGCATGTCATTTTAACGTATTTAGGTACATACTTATATTAATCATCAACTATTGCTTATGCAAAACGTGCTACATTTAAAAAAAAAATCGCATATGAAAGAGCACCAACCCAACTCGTAATAATTTAAGTATACAAATTTTAGTATTTAGTATAGAAATATTCAATTGAAATACGCCAATATTAAAATAAAGCGCTTTGCACTTAACGGATGCTTTTTCATAATTAAGTTAAAAAAAAAATTTATTTAAATTCCATGTTGTCTGTAATGGGATTTGAACCCTGACGCTCTGGAAATTAGCAAATTGTGCCAAGCATCTTCGTGCACTCAGCTACAGCCAGACATGTAAATGTGCATTAAAATGTTCAGTTTGATTCAACACCACGTGTGCGTGGTATGAAAGTATTGTTTTTAAGTACGAACATTTCAAAACGATAATCAAATAAAAAATATTCATGTTTACTATGAGTTATTTCCCCCAGTAAATTCATAAAATTTTTCTTAATATTACAACGCGTTTTTTCTCTCAGCGTAGTCATTTTTAAGCAAAAGTTGTGCAATCAAATCGAAAACCGGGACACTTAAATGAAACCCGGGACATTTTAAGGTTGGACCGGGACACCGGGACAAATAGTCTAAAACCGGGACATGTCCGGGAAAACCGGGACGTCTGGCAGCCCTACACACAAAGCGCATACTTTCATGCGATTTTCTTTATGATCGCATTTGTGTTCTGGAAGTACAATAGTCATTATTTCCTGACAGAAGAGTACATAAATACCAAAATAAATCTCATACAAGCTTTGAATTTATTTACTTATTATGCGGAGTACCGTTGGCCTAAGTTAGAGGATTTTTATTTCTTGCACAAGCGCAGTGCGACTTGCCTGCGCTACTTGCTTATAGCAACAAACCTTTAATAAAAAATTACTACCGTATTATATAGCATACAATATTGTATACATACATACATATATTGCGATATTGAAAGTGTTTGTAATGAGAAAGTTCACGCTACAGAAAAAGGTAATTGTGGTGTTTTATCTAAGTTGTATACCGGTAGCGCCCAATAAATCTCGATCTCGGTAGGAAAAAATGAAAATGTTTCACATTGATTTGATCCGTTTTAGTGAGTTAAAAAAGGAGAACAGATTTGTATGAGATTTCTTTTCGTATAAATATGCTCTAATTATCGAGAAGTACGCCTTCCTCTTTTGCAAATATATCCTATCAGAAGTATATAAATGTGGATATCTTTAAAACAGGAGCAGCTAGGATTTCAATTTAAGCGGATTCTTAACCTTAAGATATCAACAAATACAACCCTGCTTTCAGATTTTGTCGACATTTTTATGCAACCTATCTTCGCTTCCTGCCCACCGTGCGCATAAGCTGATGACATCGACATCATCGGTGAAAAATAACAAGAAATATGCTGTTCGTTTTCGTAGTTCGATAAGAAAACAGAGCGATTTAGTCTGGACAAGTCGAAGTACCTCCTGTCATATAACAAACAGCCAGCGCATTCTCGCCCCAGCACCCATGTCACTGTTGACGGTTATAACTAATTTTGAAAAGGTAGAGAATTTTGTTTATTTGGCAACCAGCATTAGCATTATCGAGAGAAAAAATTTACGGGCGTTTACGCGTTGGCGACGGCGATGGCGATGGCGATTACCGCAGACGATAGAACGAGGTGCTGTATGAGCTTTACAAACACATGGACTAAAGAGCGTGTCAGACGTGGCAATTTTTCGAAAATGCTGTTAAATTGAGAAATTTCAGAAAGCAGTTGCATGAGCAGTCACACCTTGCATGTAAAATGTCTTTAGAAAGAGGTTTTTAATTTCCAAAAGGTGAATTGCAGATTGCTAGTGCAGCACGAGCAAGTTGAAATATATTTCCGAAATCGATTTGCGCTCTCTAAATTGCAGTCACATTTTGCAACTTTTATTTTTGAAACTGATTTCCAAAATGTGACAGAAAGGTTTTTCTGGCTCTTCTTACATCGAAATGAAATTTCTTTTTCTCAATTTGACAGCGAATTGCGTGGAAAAGTTCGAAATATTGCCACGTCTGACACGTTCTTTAGTGTAGTGAATTAAAATGCAGCGGCTCCACTGGGTTGGCCATATCGTCCGAATGGATACAGAAGGTTCAACTCTGAAAGTCTTTAACTCGGGACCTGCTGGTGGTACCAGAGGAAGAGGGAGGCCTCCTCTGCGATGGAAAGGAGTTTCCCTTTGGCGTCAGTTGGCACCGAAGGGAATAAAGAGTTATTAATGTAAACATATGGTGGTAAGAATTTCCCGAAAAAAAAGCGATAAAACAGAAAGAGTCGTGAGAAACTCCGGTCAATATCAGTTGCTTTACGTACCATGGGATGCACATGCATATACCCTTAAATTATAACTAAATTGAATTTTATATTCACTGAGAAATGCCCTGTTGACTTACGCGCGCACCAGAAGAACTTCCGATATTACCTAATTTTGCCCGTTAAACGTTTCGCGTGCATAATTTTCAACAATTTGGCTGAACGTAGACAAATGTAACCAGTTTTAATATGTACATTTAGTTGTAATTACCAAACGTCGGTTATGGTTCCCAAGCCTTGGTAATACATAGTTCCTAAATAATGAAAAAATGTGCAACTATTAAAATATATTTAGTTATCGAAACTAAACTAATTTCTCAGTGTATGTACAGTATATTTTGCTTTGCTGCCTCTATGCTTAAGTGCACATTTAAGATATCTACCCCAAAATGCGTATCAGAGGCATTATTTTTAACACTTATAAGGAAACTGCTCCGATAGATGCATTTAGCATACCTGCACATTGGCGATACCTGCCTTAAAAATTGTGCGACTAGTATCAATTATCAAAGTAAGTATTACGTTTACCTGCACTGGCCCTACAATTACCTAATTTTACAACTTTTTATTTTTTTTGTTCATCAGGCAGAACAACGAAAATGGCTATAAATTTATGTAGTTATATAGATAATTAGATACTATTCGGTAAAAATTTCACTTGCAGTAATTTCTACGTGGTAAGTGCTTCTCTATTATTTGGTTTCATAGGAATTTGGATACCTTCCTCATTGAAGTAGGAAAGAAAATTCGCTTAATTGCCTTTTTCGGTTAAGTGCACAAGTTTTTCGTGCAAAGAAGGATGTGCAGCTAAGCAAAATATACTGTATTCAAAAAAAAAATATATAAAGCTAATTAACACCCTTAGCTTTATTCATTTATTACAGAGTCCGACACAATTTTGCACCCATGAAAAAATCCAGCATTTTCGGAAAGAAGAGACTTCTGGTACCAGTATTTTGCCGTTTTTTTAAAGCAAGTTATTTACAGTTTCTATGGGGGAAAACAACCTCTATACTGAATCGGTCAATAGAATATTGCCTTCTGATTTGTTAAACTTTATTAAACTTCGTATTCAAGGGTTTTTGGGCTTGCTGATTACAAATCTGAAGTAAGTTTTTAAAAATTCAAAATGGCGGATGGATTTAAAAATTCAGATTTTTATGAATTTGGATATCCGAAAGTTATGAGTCGATGACTAGGAAATTGAAATCAGTTTTAAAAAATGGCGGATTCAATATGGAGTGGTGGATAATTACAAAATTAAAATCAAAATTGGAAAATTCTAAAGGTCATTATTTTGTTGTTTAAGTTTAAATATAACACAGGCCTGGAAATTTAACTTTCCGCCCCTCCCCTACAATAATTATAATACCTAGATTGTCGAGATTGTTTTTATTGGGGACAGGTACTCAAGTATCACACTGGTATATAACTTGTTGTAAATTTACGAATTTCGGTATAAATCTGATTAATTGAAAATTCACAAATTTACACCAAGTTATACACCAGTGTGCTACTTGAGCATATTTTAGAATTTTTAGCAATTTGCATGAAAAGCCAAAAATTAATTTTAGTTAATTAATTATACTTAAAAACAAACAGTATTAGTTAAAAATATCCGTAAATAGACTAAGTAAATCAGAAAAAATTATTTAATTTTTAAGTTAACACTAGTAATTGGAGTTAAAGCTAAGAAAATAACTTTTATCAATTTTCATGCAAATTACTACAAATTCTTAAATATACATATATATTACCAAAATTCTCCTAAAAGAAATACACACATATTTAATTTTTTAGAACCGGTCCCTTGATCTTTTAAGTAGAGGAGTAGTCTTTGTATAAAGGGATCGAAATTTAAAGGTCACAGATTTTAAATAAACTTGTTGTAATCAGCGACTCAAAAAACTCTTGGATATACAAGTAATTTTTAAGCAAAAAACAAAACCGACTTCAGTTCTCATATAAAATTTTAAGAGTTCCGTTAATTTCTTCTTGATCCAATGATCGGATCTAAACCAAATGAGAATGCGACCACCTCGGGGATACCACCTTTCCTTTAAAAAATTATTTATAGAAATCGGTTCACGTGGTCCAAAGTTATGCGGTAACATTCATAAAAAAAATATTCCGACGAATTAATAACCTCCTCCTTTTTTTTGAAGTGGGTTAAAATTTCATAGAGGGCTGAAAATTAGTTTAAACATGCATCCGCAATGTTGAGTTTTTAAAAACTGTTTTCAAATACGTAATTAGCAACCCCAAGGACCTTTCAATACGAAGCTTAATAAAGTTTAAAAGATCAAAAGGCAATATTCTATTGACTGAATCGGCATTGTTCTTTTTTCTCATAGAAACCATAAATGAATTGATTCAGAAACACGGGCCCTTTTTTGCCACTACTTTCCAGAAATTCTTGATTTTTTATGGGTGCAAAATAGTCTTATTTTGTTGGACGGTGTTACATGTACTAAGTTGTGTTTATATTCATTTTTTACATTCCTTTTCCTACATATATTCCAGCTATTCATTGAAGTACTCACCAGAGGCCAGCGAACTCAGCGAGCCGGCTGTGCTACCACCACCTTCATAAGCGTAATTGCGTAAGTCGTCGAAAGGCGGTGCATTTGGGTCACCATCGGCACGCTTTTTGTGTTCCTCGATGAACATGCCTACGTTTGGCTCCTGGCCGGGCATTAGCGTCATCACCGGATCTGCAACGTTGCGAAATGGTAAGGAAGAAAATTTCTAATAAAATCAGTATGAGTTTGAGATGAGTAAGTATGAATGTAGTATGTACATATATTAAATAAGTAAATAAGTAGATATGGAAGCTGTAAGAAGAAATTCGTAGAGTGAACGGATGGGCATCCAACCAACAAGAAAATTTCAACATATTTTAGCGCTTTGTGCGAAAAAAGTTCTCTGTCGCAGCATTTTTAAAAAGCCAGTTGGAGCAAAGTCAGTACTCTCCGAAGCAACGCAACGCAGGTTGAAGTGCAAATCCATGTTGCCTACAAATTTAATACGGTCGCTTGTGAACTTTATATGTACATATGTACCAGGGTTGTTGCGAATATTCGCATTCGCAACCGCGGAACTTCCGCATAAATTTTAACATTCGCATTCGCAATAATCAATGCGGAGCATTTGCGAATGCGAATATTGTGCATGTGCACTGATAAAACATATATCTGGCAAACAAAAAAAAAAATGGAGATGCTACGTTAATCGCTAGTTTTTTCTACTTCTTCTTAGAAAGGTGTAATTTTTTTTTCTCATAAAACTTAGTATGTTCATAAAACTTAGTATGCTTCCGTGTTCCCTTTTATTAGTCTTTCAGCTCAGAAACAGAAACATTTATTTTAGTTTTGTGTAAATTGTCAAAATTACCACGCATCGAAATAAAGATGAAATGATATGTACTAAATAAGTTGACAGCCAAGTTCACAAATTAAATAATTAATTAATTCATTATTATTATTAATAATTTTTGATTATCATGCATTTCATCGAATCATAAGTCCCCACATCGTTTTAGGCAATACAAAAATTTAGTTAGTTGTGATTTTTTGTATTTCAGCGACAATGTGAAATACGCCCTTTTAAATTAGTATTAACGATATGTTGAAAATTTGCTTTCATTCGCCTCAAAAAATATATCAAAACACATTGAGCGCATGAAATAGAACAACAAAACGGATTTGATGGGTTATGGTACCGACAGCGGTGAGTAATCAATTGTGACTGCCTGCAACTAGGAAAAGCCGAGCTCAACTAACTAATAAAAAAAACTATATACAAGCTATTCATTACTGGTCGTGATTCAAATAATTAAAATTATTATAAAAAGCAGGGTACCTTTTTAACAAAATAACAAGATTTTAAACTAATTCTGCTGACAGCCACGACTTTCAAAACAGAATTTTCTTCGAAATTTTCATCCCCAGAAAATAACAATTTATATGCCATATCCACCTATTCACAACGTCGCTATAAGCACACATTTTTCAAACCAGTCCCAGAAGACAGTATTAAAAATGATTTGCTAAAACTAAAACCGAAAAACGCTGATGACGTAACAGGTTCTCCAAATTCTGAAACAAACAAAAGAATTGGTTCTCCAAATTGGAACACAACGGTGTTTAAACATCGATCTTGCCATAATGCTAGATTGTGAAGATGAAAGTCAAGAGGATGCATCCGACACTTGCAGCCCCGATGCAATTGTCAAAAAGGAATTATTGCAACGCAATAAAAAAAAAGAAATATAACTGAAAGTGCTCTTAACTGGTGCAGCGTCAATCGAAAAGAATTTACAATGTTGTCAAGTTTCGAGCGCGTAGTTACCTAGTGCGCAGGTTTGATTTACGACAAGTCAGGAAATAGGCTGTAACCGGAAAAGGCAGCAAAATTACTCTTTCTTAAATACAATGTTCCAATTGTTTAACTTAAGTACTAAATAAAAAAACACTATTAAAAATTACTAACTTTTCCATTTTTTATTTACCTAAATCACCTAATGTACTCATCAGTTTTATTTCTTAAAAATATTTGACATCCGCGTTCGCATCCGCATCCGCGGATGTTAGCTTTTAAACATCCGCATCCGCATTCGCGGATGTCTAAAATTCCACATTCGCGACATCCCTAGTATGTACGTACAGAAGGCAAGGTATACAAGAGAATAAAATATGTCATCTATGTACATTAGGGTGGTCCAAAAATGCATGTGAAAAAGTAAAGTCGGAATTTTTATGCTCTTACCTCTTAGGATTGTTCTATACCGAACAAAATATACCCTTATTTTTGTACTTTGAAATCAAAAAATATTTAGAGGTCGCTCAAAGCGCCCAAAGTTTTCCATGTATTTTATATGGGTAAAACACAACTTTTCGTAGAAATGGTATAGAATAGTTAAAAATGAATATTTTTCTACCAGAAAACTCTGTTTATCTGCAGGAGATTCCCAATAATAATACCCAATTGTTTACTTAACCATTTTTTTATTGCAACTATAATTTACAGGTCCGCCAAAAACCCACAAAAACCCCGAAAAATGCAATGAGGCGACCAATAAAAAATCGTTAGTATTAAAAAATGGTTAAATAAACAATTGGGTGTTATTACTGAAAGTCTCCTGAAGAGAACCAGAGTTCTCCGATCGAAAAATATTGACTTTCAAGAATTCTATACCCTTTCTACGAAAAAATTTATTTTTCCCATATAAAAACACTTGGGAAACTTTGAGCGCTTTGAGCGACCTCTAAATATCTTTTGATTTCAAAATAAAAAAATAGGGGTATACTTTTTTCAATATAGAACAATACTAGGGGGTGAGAGCATTACAATTCCGACTTTACTGTTTTTGGACCACCCTAATGTACATACATAAGTTTATAAGTTTGAGATATGTAAATACTATTTAGAAACTTGCATTGGCTTTGACAAAGTTAAGTGCTTTAAATAGCTCTGAATAAGAGGCCTAAGGATAGTTGTGGTTCGGAAATTTGAGATTAAAAGTTGTTTACAAATTTATTAATTCTAAAAGTAAAATACGAGCAAATCTCTGACATTAGACTTCTTTAATTTGTGAAATTCTTACACGTAAATATGTAAATAGTTGAAGCAACATAAGAATATCGCTCATTTGCCGAAGGAGTACCATAAAATCGAGGAATAATACTTTACAGTTTTTAGTTCGTTTTCCTCTCTGTGCCTAAATAAAAAAAAACTAATAAAAGACTAAAATTATTGACGATAGATGGATGTATTTCTCAGCTGAGCTGGGAGGGATCTGCTCAAAAAAATGAACTACTAGCAGCAAATAAAATGTGACATTAATTACGGATTTATAATCAAAGTATATAACAACGGTGGGGCAAACGCGGCTCTTAAAAAAAACTTAAGGAATTACTATAAAAATAAAGTACAATTTACTACATATTTCCGCCCATAAGAGCTGTGGGCGTTATAGCGCGTTGAATTTTACCATTTTCCACATTTCTTTATTCCTAAGTGCCAAATAGCGCATATACGAAATTTCAGCGAATTTCTAGTACGGTTATTACTTTTGGCCCTAGCCTATATGGCAACGGTGGGCAAACACGACTCTTTGAGCCAAATGCGGCTCTTTGCTTGGCAAAGTGCGGCTCTTTTTACTTTCACTTTGCTTAGAACATTTTGGCTCTTTTTACTTTTTAAAATACATATTTCTTTGTAGACATTCTTTTCCATTGTGTTATTTTTTTAAATTTATTCTTTTTATATAAACATACGCAAATTTAGATCGGAATATTACCCGCAATTGGAGAATGAAAATTGGTTTTCTGACTTAATGTTCTTTTCCGATATGACGGAACATTTGCAAAACTTGAATTTGTCTCTCCAAGGAGAGAATAAAAATGTTGTTGATTTGTCGCAAATTACTTTAAGTTTTGAAGCTAAACTACGCCTTTTTATTCATGATCTCAAAAAAAGAATATTTCATCATTTTTCATGGCTAGAAAAAAAAAAATAATGCAAATGATTTAAAAGCAGATTTTGAAAAGAGATTTGCCGATTTGAAGTTATTTATATGTACGTTTGCATATTTCATAAACCCATTTTTATGTAACATAATTGAGGATGATTTAAAATATCCGAAATATTCCTTGTTAACAAAAGCGAAGAGTTGGAGTTTTTGGAAGTAAAAGAAGATAAGGCACTGGAAATGCAACATAAAGCTTTGCCATTGCTTCCGGCAACAAGTACCAGGTTTAAAATATCCGCTGTTGAAAACAGCTGCGTTCTGTATATTTCAAATTTTTGGTACAACGTATAGCTGTGAGCCTTTGTACTCTACAATGAAATTAGTAAAGTCAAAATACCGTATATACACAATTAGTTGCATTCGCGTACGCAAAAAACTTGCAAAGTAGGGGAAATTGAGAGAGCAAAATGACATTTCATTTTGAGGGAAAGCTGCCGCTTTCTGCTGGGATTGAATTTGATGGTTTGGATGTTAAAATAGTAAAATGCGACTAATTAAACTTGTAAGAAGGAAGTAATTATTCGTTTAGTGAGTTAACTGTGTCAGCATAAGACTTCGGGATTTTTACGTTTTTAATTTTATACTTTTGACATTTCTATCAGCTGTTCGTCTAACTTGATATTTTTCTCTTGTGAGAGAACAGATGACATTTCGCCGGTATTTCGCTGTTGGACATTTTTTACCGGAGATTTAAACCAACGTACCTATTGACTAACCAACATTTAACAGAACCGTTACGAACGGCTTTAACTGACGTAAAACTTAATTTTGAAAATTTAGCCAAATTTGTTTAATATTCTTTAATATCTATCTTACGTACATGGGCATTCGCCCCCCTAAATCCAAGAAAGACATACCAAAAAAACGGTAACTCCATCCTTATCTTTTCTAGCTCTTTTGGTTGAGTACCGAATTTTTGTAGCTATTAATATTTATACTACACATGTATGTACACACGGTCCGATTTTCACAGTACCTTTTCGTCAGTAGCCGAGTTTCAATGAAAATCGAAGGAAATTGCTCTGTGTGAACATAGTATTATTAATTTACCATTTTTAAATTACACTGTTTGATCATATTAAGCACCCTGTAGTATTTCAATTCCAAATATGAATACATACATATTTGGAAGTTTTTGATACTTTATTATCGCTATTAATTGTGCTGTGTGCGGGAAAAAAT